GCATCCGCTGCCTGGGGCCATTATCTGGCTCCAGCTCTCTGGCCCTTTCACCCACCCCAGGAGGAAGGTTGTAACCATTCAAGCAGACAGAAGGGCCTTTTATGAAAAGACATGCCCCTCCCTGTGGGGACCCTCCCACTCCAGCTTCTCACCTCACAGTAATGGAGGCCACCGCTGGGCCTCGGGGAGGTGAGCATTTCTGTTAAGAGCAGATCTAAGAAAAGTCTATTTGGCACTAAGACGTTTTTCATTTTGTTTTATTCTGGGCGGTGGGATGGGGGGTGGGGGGACTTGCCCATTGCTTTTTTTTTTCTTTTGGTTTCAATTTATTCACAAACTATTTCAAACATACTGAAAATAATACAATGGACACTCCCATACACCCACATGTAGTTAATCAACCGTGATGATTAAATAGATATCAGTATTTGGACACTTCTAATTCAGAACCTCTCCCTGCTGGTACACTCTCTTTCTTTAAAGCAATAAAGTGTTATAAATCCCACCGAGGATGGCCCCCATCTCTTCCTCTGCCTTCCACCTCAGGAGCAGCCTACACATTTCTGTATTTTTTTTTTTTTTTACTATATTTGTAGCATCCATAAACAATATAAATGGCCATTTTGTGTTTTTAAAATATGCACAGTTTTGTGTACATATCATTTTCCAAATTGCCTTTCCTGCTCCACATTATTTCTTTGAGATTTACCCATGTTGTTGCCTAGAATATTATTTATTACGTTAATGGATGTATTCTATTGTTTGTAGAAATCCCCGTTTAACCCTTCTCCTTCTGAAAAAAACCACTGAGTGGTTTTCACATTTTTTGCTACTGTAAATGGTGGCTTCAGTAAATATCTTTATACATGTCTTTGTAAGCACATGGTCACGAGTTTCTGGAGGGCAGACAGCCAGCCATGAAATTGCTGTGTGGGTGCTAGTTTTCTAGGTAATTTTTAGCAGGTGACACCCACTCTGCTGTCACTTCCTCAGTAATGAAATGGGACCCTGGTTTAAGACACTGTAGGTCCTTCATAGAGAAATGTGAAAACTTAGCATTTTAAAATAATAATTTTAGAGTGCTTCCAATACCTTAAAAGAAAAGACCGAATGTCCCTAATTGTTACAGAACTTAGACCAGTGATATAATAGAAATTGTGGAATTTTAGAATGTTCCTCGCCCTAAAGTACCCCTGGACCCCTCACCTTACAATGGTCATTTAGATTGTGACCCTTTCTCAACTTAGGTCCCAAACCCACAGGGCTTCCCCTACCCCTACCCCCAAGCTTCTTGGAGCCCAGACTGTGTGGATCTAGTTGGGATCATCTCTTCGCTGACCCTAGTATCTTTCCTCTTTGCCTGTGAATGCCTCAGGCTGGTGATCAGATTGGCAAGAAGCTGGGCAGGGAGGACACTTATATTTTCTCATACTGAGGCCCGTAGATGTTCTTACTTTTCTTCCCCCCCCCCTTTTTTTTTGTAGTTTCACTTAATAATGGGAACTATCAATACATCCCCACATTTTGGAATACAAAATATAGACCCCATATGAGAAAGTACATAGCCCTTCACCTGACACCTGGTGTAGCTCAACATGTTTTTTTTGTTTGTTTGTTTGTTTTTTTAAGGTTCAGTCTGAAAGTCAAGAGCTCCAGATCTCATGGCAAAACAAGTAAGGCAGAAGACAAGTCTTATTCGGGACAATTCCCAGTTGTCACAGCCAGCGTCATGGAGGGCTGAAAGAGGCGGTTTGCTCTATAAATCCGCACCCTGGCAGCTAGTGGCTTAGCCCCAGGGTGCTCCCTGGCCACAGCCTGCAGACCTGCTTCAGTTTCTTCCTAGAGTGTACGCCTCAAGGGGCAAGGTGTGTGCCTGGAGAGTTGGCTCCAGGTCCTTTGCATGGGCTCAGTCACCTCCAGAAAGCTAATGGATAGGTGAGTTGCCAAATATCCAGAGCACAGAGCAGAGGATGCTGGGGGAAGGGGCTTTTCCCTGAATTTTCAGGAAAGCCCAGCCCAGAGGTTCAGAAGCTGAAGAGAACATAGCTAGAAGCCTCATTTTTCTGTGATAAACAGTGATGTGGGAGTTCCACAAAGAAACACTAGCTTCAGTGTCAGCCACACCTGAGTCTCCTTCCAGACGACACCTCGCTTGCTGTCTGGCTTTGAGAGGATGGCCTAACCTCTCTGAGTCTCCACGCCCTCACTATGGAGTTGGGGTGTGCACAGTTTCCAGCGCCAAGAAGGCCTCAAATATGCTTTCTCCTCACTCGACACTCTACTGTGGACTCAAGTGTATGAATAGGACAAAGAGGTCATGCGTCCTGTAGGGGAGGAAAAGTTTCTCCTCTGCCCTTGTAGGGTCTCCAGCTGGGCCCAAGAATTGAACTGACATAAGTCACAGAAAGTATACACATTTTACTAAAATTTCACACGTACATGGGAGACTTCACAAGAAAATGAGGACCCAAGGAAGTGACCAGAGCAGAAAGCTTACTGACTTTTTGACAAAGAAACAATAAATTTGTGGGCGCCTGGGTGGCTCAGTCGTTAAGCGTCTGCCTTCGGCTCAGGTCGTGATCCCAGGGTCCTGGGATCGAGCCCCACATTGGGCTC